GAAGGTGGAAGATCTCTCCATGGCACTCAGAATGTCCAATGGGAAAGGAAGAATGTTTGGGGCCTGAGAGATGGTCTCTAGATAACCTTGGGGGTAAAGGGGTGGGGGAGCTAGCTGGAGCCTGCAGGAGGTTGAGGTCAGATAGTCCCACAGCGACCCAGATGGGGAGTGCAGATGAGTTGTTGATATGTCCAGACTGCAAAGGGATGGTGCAAAATTCCACAGGGACAAAGCCAACAGACTTAAACCTAATTATTTCATATTGAAAAGGGGCCTTTCACACCTGACTTGAAGTAACTATAAAGCATGTGCCCTATTTTAGTTTTTTAAAAAGCTGATTTTTTTTTTCCTTTTTGTCTTTTTTACTGACCGGTAACGAGATCGCAACCCTGGGTGTCACGCCCGTACCGGGGACCGGCAACGGGATCGCAACCCTCGGTGTTGCGCCCGCACCACGCTCAGCCAGGGAGCGGGAACCGGTCTCCACATGGGATCCAAACCCTCGGCGGGAGCGCCGCCGCACTCCCAAGCGGCACACTCTCCAGTGCGCCACCGGGCTGGCCCTAAAAAGTTGATTTTTGTTTTAAGGTAAGGTGTGAAACATTTACAGAATAGTAATAGAAATGCTTATGTGCCAATTTTGTCCCACCGAGCCTTCCCTGATTTTAAGTGTTAGATGTGCAAAGTATTCTCTGCTTAAAATTGGGTATTTTAATAAGTGAAAAGAGTAACATCTAAGTCTGCAGGGGTCCTCATTTTTCTATAGAATTTGCCAAAGAGTCTTTCAGAAATCAAAAGGGAAAAATACGACTAATAAATTATTTTGGGTTCAGCCACTATAAGTAAGATTAGGCTAAAAGTATAAATAATTGAGAACTAAAGTTTATTGGGAAACTCAAATCATTTTCGATGAATGTATAAATGTGATATTTACACTGTAAGATAAACGTTAGAGCTATTCTAGAGAGCTGCATTGTCTGATACATGGTAGCCGCTAGTCACTAGCTTAAGCCCTTGAAATGTGGCTTGTCCAAATTGAGTTGTGCTGTGAGTGTAAAATACATACTTGATTTCAAACACTTAGTGGGAAAAGAAGGATGTAAAATATCTCAATATTGTTATATTGATTACATGTTAAAGCAACATTTTTGATACATTGTGTTAAAATAATTAAAATTAATTTTACTTGTTTGATTTTACTTTTTTGATGTAGCTACAAGAAAATTTAAAATTATATACATGAGTTGCATGTGACTTGCACTGTAATCTCTATCAGGCAGCTCTGCTTACAGTTTAAAAATCTATAGATAGGATTGCCCCCTTTCCTTCTTGTACTCTAATTGGACTTAAACAAAACAAACAAAAAATTAGGCTTATTTTTAAACAAACAGTCCTTTTAGGAAAAAGGAAACTTATGGGTAAAGAAACTGAAAATCAGAAAAGTGGCAGAGCTGGCAATCTAACATTAGAATTCAATATCCCATTCTGAGTGCTATATTTATATAACAAGTAGTATAAAACTATAACATTTCATTTTATGGTGTGAAAAAAATTACTAAATGGTATCTATCTTTTTATAGGTTAGAATGATCCCTATGAATAAATGGTATGTCGTACAGCGGTTATATGTAACTTCTTCAACTTGTCAGTCAGCTCAGATTACTTTTAAAAATACCTAATACACATTTTTAGATTCACTGCAAGTTACTGATTAACTCATTCCTTGATAGGTAACCATCTTTCCCACTTTGCATCACAGCATATTTTCTGGAAGAAAAAGCAGAGCTTATTTCCAGTGAAAATGATGCTGCAGACATTGCTATTCACAGAATATACACACATGGGTCAAGGGAAAAAAATCTTTTGTTTTGGATTTAAAAACAAAATACTGAAATGAATTGGAAACTGAGGCTGAAAACTTAAGTGACAAAGCAGTTTACATAAGTTGGGATCTATGTAATTTTGCATATTTTGATTAATCTTAAAGCTCCCAAATAAGTCAAACTAGAATAGAAAACTTTCCTTGAAAACACTTGTTTCAATGGTATAAAAAGAGGAAGGAAAATGTAACGACCTTTTAAAAGACTTTCAGTTCTATTTATACATTATAGAAGAGAAACATTCTATAGCCCATGGAAAATTATAGTAGCAAATATGACAGGAGCTATTTTCTACTAGTGAAAAGGGCACTTCTGTGAATATAAAATGAAATATAAACTCCACTTTGTACCATTTATTATGAATACAAAATTTCCCCCCTGAATTTTATTTTTCATTTCCACCTCTTCTGGGGGAACACTGTAAAGAACTCAAGGCAGATACTAAATGCCTGATCTATATATCTTTCCCGAGAGCAATCTACATTACCCTGAATTTGCCATATTGTGCTAGAGCCGGCTTGTTCGAGCTGATGAGAGTTTATGGCTAAATTTTCAGGATTTTTGAGAGGCTGGTTATTTTCATGTTGGTAGTCAGAAATTGGTCATGGTGGGATTATTTACACCATAGAAATTGGCAAATGTGAAAAGTTCCCTCTCCCCCAAGCCAGTTGTTAAACATGTAACAGCATACCACTAGCAAACGTTGAATCCCGTCCTAAATTACTAGGTGAAAAATGCTTTACTTTCCTTACTTCTGTTTGACAAGCAACAGGACCGTAATCTTGATCTTTGTCTGAAATCATTTCAGAATGAGAAATTTCAAAGGTCATCATTTGACATGATCTAGGATGGCCTGCTTTATGACCCACTTCCTGCTAACACTGGGGGATGTGCAGCCATGGGTCATTAATTACTCCACCTGGTTCCTTGCCTCTGGGCCTAAACAGCCCAGAGGAATGGAGTCACTAGTTAGAAGGAGTTCCGTTTTACAGCAATGAGAAGAGATTTGTAGAAGATTCACTGGCATGTTCTTCCTTTTTACTTCTCAAGGAAATAGTTAATGTAGATAAAAAAATAAGTAAAATTACTGATGTAATTATTTTTGAAAGTTATCCATAAGAAATGAATTTTATGCCAAAAAAAAAAAAAAGCAAATAATTAAGGCTATTTCACATGTGCATTAAAGAATAGGTTAATGCAGATTTCACACGATGACACTAAATCAGTTGTCCAGGTCAAATGTGCAGAGGCTGGCCCTGAGCTAAATATTAAAAAAAGAAAAAGATGACAGGCTGTTGTTTTCACAGCACGGTCACTCAAGAAATATGAATTCTTTCTAGAGAATATAAGAATCAGCTTAGGGATTTCAGAAAACAATTAGGAACCTTGGGGAGAGGAATAAAGGAGCAAAAATAACTTAAGGGCTAATTCAAGAATATTCTCAATACACTCTACTCTTTGCTTTAACAATGCTTTTGCCCGGTTTCTACACCAAGGATGGGGTGGGAACCGGTTCTTGGCCAAATAATAGCATATTGGATTTGAAGTCTAAAAAGCTGGATACTATTCCTGGTCCTACCTGTTATGTGTTGGGTGAACTTAGACAAATGACTTACCCTTTCTATGTTTCAGATTTCCTCACTAAATGAGGCAAATATTTTCCATAGCTGTTTGTGTAAGGATCAAATGAGATCATGCATGGAAAAACACTCTGCAAATGGTAAAACACTATGTAAATACAGTACTAATTCCACTTTGGAAAAAAAAGTCATTAAGCTCATTTCTTACATTGACAACATTATCACTTGGGTCAACATGCATGACTTTGGTGAATACCAAATAAATCTAACTCTGAAATTTGCTAAAACACTGGCCTCAGAGAATCCACTCAGTCACTATGCTTCACTACTGATTTGTGGCCTTGAAGAAATCTGTGCTTTTCTATTAACATAACTTCATGTAAGAATGTTTTTTCTATGATACAAGTATGCTACAATACGGTCCATCTAAAGCTTGATGGATATTTCAATATACCTCTTAAATATGTGTCAGCTGCTTCATCTGAATACCAATATTTTAATGATGTTTGAGTGCAGGTAGATGAATAGATGACTGGCTGGATAAGCTAATACAGAAAGTAGAAATAGATATATTCTGGGGGACCAAGAAATACCCAAATGACCCATAAATACAGCAGGGAGCAAGAAAGGTAAATGCAAGTGAGAAGAGTATACAGGCAAGACCCTCTGTGCAACAACTTGAAGTTGGGGACCCATGAGTGTTGGGCTCCTGGCATAAACAAATGAAGTATGGGCCCAAACAGTTCCAGCTCCTGTGATTCTGTGATCCCAAGTGTTCACTTTGAATTTCAATATTCTATTACTCTGTAGTTCTGACACTATGGCTAGAAGTGGCTACGTTAGAAGGAAGTTAGGAAAGCAAAAGAAAGCTCAGAAATGACTTATTTACTGAACATTTTAAAAATCAGTTTTAAGATGTATCAGTGCTACTAACGGTGGGCACTGGTTTGATGGCAGTGTGCACTGATAATCTGAAGGAACATCAATAAAGCTTACAGAACAGATGAAAAACAAGAGCAGGAGCAGTTTAATTGTCATGAAAATTATTACTAACTAATTTCTTCCAGTGCAAGGACCTGTAAGGTTGTGCTAATCATCACAACCTAGGGATAGAACCTATAGATGAGATGTGGTCATCCTGCCAAATTCCACTAAGGGCTGCTCCCTTTCTGCAACAAGGAAGGAGACCACTGTGTACTTCTGTGCCCCGAATCTGCCTGAAAAAATCCACTGCTAAATTAACCTTCACAAATGCAATTGGACAAATCCATGATTAGAGAAGTGTCTTTCCCCTGTCTCAGAAGAAGGACAGGGAGATGGCAACCACCCAGTCACTTGTATAGGCATTAAAAGGCCAGCCCAAAGTCTCCAGCAGATAAAGTGAGCTTATATTCAGTGGTTCTAAATTCTTTGATTTGTATGATTAAAGAGCTATGGCCCTACATAAAGCAAATGTGGATGAAGAGCCCTGCCTTATTCCAGGAGTCCGGAATCTAGGTCTCCTCTAAGTACTTTATTTCAAAGAAGATGTATCTTTGGAGTTGGTGGGCAGTAACTGAGCAAAGATGCTGCGGAGTCTGCTGGTTCTTCGTCAGATTGCCCAGAGGACCATAAGCACTGCTTCACGGAGGCATTTTGAAAATAAAGTTCCAGAAAAACAAAAGCTGTTTCAGGAGGATAATGGAATTCCAGTACATCTAAAGGGTGGGGTAGGTGATGCCCTCCTGTATAAAGCAACCATGATTCTTACAGTTGGTGGAACAGCATATGCCATATATCAGCTGGCTATGGCTTCATTTCCCAAGAAGCAGGCTTGACTTTGGTCATCCCAGCAATCAATTGGTTCATCTTCATTCAGCTCTATGGACCAGTAATGTGATAAATAACTGAGCTTTTTGGGGATCAGTATTTATTGACTTGTACTAACTGCAACTAATAAAGCAGTCTTTACCAAAAAAAAAAAAAAAAAAAAAAAAAAAGAAGATGTATCTTTGGCAGCTTGGTGTAGCTATGACTACGCCACTCCAAGGAAAGGCTGATGTCTTGGGGGGAAAGCCAGAATGGAACTATAATAAAGACCATCAAATTTGCATTAGCTTACAAAGTGTTTTTATATTCCTCATTTCATTTGGATCACACCATCACCCTGTAAAGAAGGCATTAATAAATATCCCATGTTTCAGAGGACAAGAAAGCTCAGAAAAGTCGAAAGTCACACAGTAAGTTAAAAAGCTAGACTCAATCCTGTTTTCTTTCACCAAACCACAATACAGCCCATTTTCTGGTTATCCAGGAGCCTGCAGCCCCTCCCACTACAGGCGTCTCAAAAGGTGACCTAGAGTGGACCACAGGGCCTTAGAGGCAGGTACAAGAAATGTCAAGCTGTAAAAATGTACAGCCAAACAAGAAATCATCACAGAACCTTCCCCTTCCTCTTAAAATGCTATCATCACCTGTAGTTATATTTTAGAAATGGTTATGCAATATCAGTTGAACATGCTAATGAATAGTATAATCAATAAATATATTATTCACAAGCCTTGTGATTTCCAAGCCAAGCTGATGAATGGAATGTCAAGAAGGAATGTAAACTATTCACATATTTAGAAAATTCTTGTCCACAGAACAAAGAATCATCATTTTAAGGAGTGAATTTATGTACTTACGTTTTTCACCTTTTCCTTAATTTTCCAGTTTATGTTAATAATGGTGATTTCTTCAGGCTCTCAACTCTTTCAGCTAATTAACAATGCTCAGGATATCTTCTCAACCTTGATTGTTATTGCTAATTCTTTTTTTTTTTTTTCCCCCTTTTTGTCTTTTTTCGTGTCCAGCAACGGATCGCAACCCTCAGTGTCACGCCTGTACCGGACCGGGACCGGCAACGGGATCGCAACCCTCGGTGCTGAGCCCACACCTTGCTCAGCCAGTGAGCGGGAACTGGTCTGTATGTGGGATCCAAACCCTCGGCGGGAGCGCCGCCGCGCTCCCAAGCGGCGCACTGTAGCAGTGCGCCACCGGGCCGGCCCCGCTAATTCTTGAAAAATTAAACTTTATTTCACCAGAATCTGAATATGTCTATTAAAAAATCTGTCCTTAATTCATTTCCTCCACCCACTTTATTTAATCCAGTTTTGATGTGTAAATGTGAAGATACTGTAAGTCAATGTAAACAATGCTTTTTTCATTTAACATAACCTGAATTTTTCTTCCTCCACTTATTTTTTATTTATTTATTTATTTTTTGTCTTTTTCCGTGTCCGGCAACAGATCGCAACCCTCAGTGTTGCCCCCATACCGGACCGGGGACCGGCAACGGGATTGCAACCCTCAGTGTTGCTCCCGCGCCTCGCTCAGCCAAGTGAGCGGGAACTGGTCTGTATGTGGGATCCGAACCCTCGGGCGGGAGCGCCGCCGTGCTTCCCAAGCGGCGCACTATCCAGTGCGCCACCAGGCCAGCCCTTCCTCCACTTATTTTTATTACTAATTCAGCTGTGTTTTCTCTAACCAAATATGTTAACTTATATGACCCCTCCCTCCCTTTTAAAGATTTCTAAGTAGCTGTTTAGACCTTCAAAGGTATTTAAAAGAAATAAATAGAAAAACAGTTTTGCAGAACTACCATATGACCCAGGAATTCCACTCCTAGAACCCCAAAGAACTGAGAGCATATATTCACACAAATACTTGTACACAAATGTTCACAGCAGCCATTAGTCATAATAGCAAAGAATGGAAACAACCCAAAATGTCCATCAGCTGATGAACAGAAAAACAGATTGTGTTATATAATGCAATGAAATATTATTCAGCCATGACGAGTTATGAAGTACTGGCACACAATGAGTGAACCCTGAAAACATTATGTTAAGAGAAATAAACCACACACAAAAAGGCCACATATTGTACGATTTCATTTACATGAAATGTCCAGAATGGACAAATCCATAGAAACAAAGTAGAAGAGGGGTTGCCAGGGGCTGAGGGGAGGGGGAAACTGGGACTGACTGCTAACAAGTACAGGGTTTCTTTTTGGAGTGAAGGAAATAGTCTGGAGTTTAATAGTGGTGACATCTGCACAACATAGTGAATATACTAAAAACCACTAAATTGTATACTTCACATGGGGAATTTTAGGTTATGTGAATTATATCCCAATTAAAAAAAAAAAAATAAAATAAAGGCACAAAAACTGACCTGGACTGAATGAAGGCTAATTTTATGTTACACGTAAGGCAAATCCAAGTGAAAGTATACTGTGTGTACGTACTGTATCTTGGACCCTTGTAAGCTTATACATAGTGATGACAGGAGAATCTCAGCAGGCTAAAATTGGATTATATATAACCAAAGCACAACACATAAAAAAAGAGTGATATACTGTGTGTGTTTAGGGACAAAGATGAAACCCACTTTACCATATGAAGAACATACCTAGGATCTATCCTCCCACTCTTCCCCACCCCCCAATTCCTGAACCTATCTTGCAGTGATGGCATGAAGGCTGGAGTTAGCCCTTCCCCTTCCAGGGCTCTCTCTGGAGTTGTTCCATAAAAAGCATTAGTTTGACTCTGCAGACACTGCCAGTGAACTGACAGTTGGGAACTGAAGGTGTGCCTTTTCAGGTACTTTTCAGTCCTCCCAGATGCCAGATGACAATTAGGTTGTGTGCAAGCCTCCTGAGAAGCAGCACTGTCTTCTCAGCTTGCTCTCAGCTACCAGGTGGATAGATGGGCAAGTGCCACAGGAGCTGAAGGGAATACACCTTGGCAGACTCTGAGTCACAGGCATGCACAGAAGCATCCGGCTTACAGTCTTCATCACTAACCTGAAAACTATACATGTTTAACTCTGAGTGCTTAGTACTATGGTTTATGTTTTCCTACATTTAAAAATGCAGCATTTTTTAAAAATTTAGAAGTGCATGAAGAATTCACTTTAATGTAATACACACTCCTTAAGAAGACTACTGAAGTTGTATCAAAAAGTTTAAGGGCCACTGGCCGGTTAGCTCAGCTGGTTAAAGCATGGTGTTATAACACCAAGGTCAGGGGTTCAGATTCCCCACACCAGCCAGCTGCAGAAAAGAAAAAAAAAGTTTAAAAGCTACTCTCTCAGAATTTCAAAAATTGTTTTTACTTCAAATACCTCCATTTTCCCAAGTGGTTTCAAAATTAACTTCAGTAATGTTTCAAATCATGATTTTCATAGATATTAATGACATTTTTAAGTCTTCTACATCTCATTTCTCTATAGAAGATCTGGCCAAATTCTTATGGTAGAACAATGGATATAATCACATCTATTCCAATTCTAAGTCTCTATCAGGGCTTTCATTAGCCTCCTGTCACAGGATATCTGCAAAATGACTCCTGGGCTTGAGATAAAATATTCATTTATCTCATAGGAGATGGGAAAAACTGCCACTTCAAAGTGACCAAGTGCAAAGCAGTTTATTCATGTGGAAGTGCAGAGCTGGAAGAAACCTGAGGGTTCAACTGAACCTGCCCACCCTCAGTCGGCCAGTGAAGAAAGCAATGTTCAGAGCAGTCAGGCAGCTGCATCTGTAGCAGGGCTCATGATGCCCCACCTGGGACCCCAAGCTGCTTCCAGACTCAGTCAGAAATGCTCAGAGGTGAGCTGAAATCTGGCTCAGAGAGATTAAACACTCCAATCAACTCATTCAATTCTATCCAATTCAAACATTTACTTGAATGCCTACCATGTTAAGGTGCTCTGCCAAGGAAGCAGGGCAAAGGGATAAAGATAAGTAAAATCTCATCACTGTTCCCAAGGAACTTAATATCCACTCAAGGATGTATGCAAATAACTATAATGTGGAATGTTAAAAGCAAAACCAGGCCAATTGGGAGATGAAAGTCATGTAGGAGGTAATACAGATGGAAGGAAGGAGTGACGGTGGAGATGGTCACAGATGTGAGCAACACTGGGGTGGCAGAGGAAGATGAGCCGAACTTGGTGGGTGAGGGGGAAAGGCCAGAAGAAAGGCTTCCAAGGTTGGAGGCCACCTTCATGGACTAGCACTGAAAGCAAATCAGCAACAATACCATATATTCATATACTAATTAGGGTATTTTTGTTATCACTAACAACAACAAAATTAGCAAAGTGACTTGTATGAGGTCACTAGACTATAGAGTGGTAGAGCCAATGCCAGACTCCAAAGCAGGATTTCAGAGTTCCAGGCTCCATAATGCTACCCATCACGAATGACTTTCAAAGATCAGCTCCAGAAATATGTTATTGTCTTAAAACCCAGTCAAATTGACAAAAAATATAGAAGAAAAAAATGACATCAAATGATCATCAAAAAAAAAAAAAAAGTCACCCATGAAGGAAAGTTTACACATGTTTAGAGAGAGGCATGGATCGAAATCAGACGGAGAGCCAAACATAAGCAGTGTCACGCAGAATCCAACAGCCACTTGAGACTGACAGGAAAGTATAAAAAAAACTCACACCTCACATGCCTCTTAAGATAAAAAGGCCCATTGATCTTGGTGGAAGGGCTGACTGGGTCTTTAAACAGTCCACTTTCTCTGCCCCTCATTATGACTTCCAGCGTTTTTATTCCACACGAATGTACAGACTCACACCTAGGAAGAAGGGCTGAGGTGAATGACCTCAGCAAACATGATGGAGTTCATGACCACACAGAGAGAAAAGGGTTTTTTAAAAAAGATCACATGTATTTTACAGCCTTAGTTCGGGAGGGTGGGGAGGGGGGGGATGAAATTTCATATAAAGTCTACAAAGAGAAAAAAAGACTAGAAATATAAGTACTGAAATATTAACCACAAAATTAACTTGTGAGACTACAGGTGACTTTTTATTTGTCTATTATGCTTTTCTGTATTTTCCAAAACTTCTACCTAGCATATTATGTACTATAATATCCTTATAAGAAGAGAAAAAGTTTTATTTGATAAGAGAAGGGAAACTGTATTACTTGAGTTGT